TATCTCCCCTCCCCCCCCTCCCCCACCTACCACCTGGGCATGAGGCCGGTGAGTGTCCCTGTCCCTGCAATCTAGGAGTAGTCTGTAGGACGGGTGCAATCCTGGTTGGGGGGAGTTGTTAGCTGGTGCTTCTGGAGGTCTGGTTTCTGGAGAAGCCTTGGGCTTGTGTTCACATTTCTAACCCCTCTAAATCCACCGCAGGGGCCTGAGCTCATCAAACAAGCCAACGGCCTTCACGGGTTCATGAACTGGCAACAGAACCTTCTCACGGTGAGTGGGGCTGGCCAGGGCTGGCAGAGGAGGCGTGTTTCAGAGGCCTGATCCCTGTGGATTGATGGTAATGGGGGAAGCAGGTTAGAAGCCAGGCACTCCGGCAGCCTCTCATGGGAGCTTGGCTCTGGGGGGTGAATCAGGGCCCCTCTGGGCAGCGTGCAGGGTGGGTGGTCAGGATTGGGGCCCTTGTGGATAGCGTGCCACGACATTTCAGAGTTGGGTGGCAGCATGGGGCTCCGGCATGTTTCCCCTCTGCTAACTCTTACGTTGCGGCCAGTGTTTCTTATCTGGGGCTTTTCTTGACTGTTGTTTTGTTCTGGGTTTGTACAGCACCTCGTACCGCCATGGGGTCCTAGGTGCTACCGTAATACACCTAATACATAATGTACAGCCCCTAGCACCATGGGCCACGATGGGTGCCTAGGTGCTACCGTAATACACCTAATAGATAATACAGAGAGTACATTTAGTGCTAGTGGAAGGTCCCACGTTGAAGCGGCTTCTCTACTGTGTATCTACAGGCTCAGCCTGGGCACCAGCAGGGCAAACTCCCTCCAAGATGCTGCCCGTAGCCAACCTGCCTCTTTGCTGCCCCGGGAGCGAGCAGGGTAACCTCTGAGGCTGCTGTTTAGCACCATTTGCCTCACTGAGCACCCGGGAGAGGGTGACTAGCAAGGGGCCTCGTGGTGCAGGCGTTGGTCTGGCACTTGGGGGATCTGGGTTTGATTCCCGGCTCTGCGGCTGACTCCCTGCGGGACTTGCAGTGACTGCCCGTGCCTCAGTTTCCCCGTCTGCAAAGAGGGCGTTGGAAGCAAGCTCACTAATGACTGAAGTGCTCGGATGCTCCAGTGATGGCCCCATGGAACAACCGAGGTAGATGGGCCACTGTCAACCTGGAGTGGGCTCAAAGCAGAGGCCTGGAGTCTCTGGTCCCCTCCCTCGAGCTGTCCAGCCTCCCTTCTCCCTGTGTTGCACCCTTGATCCCTGGACAGTATCTTCGGCATAAATCTCAGCGCCCCCAGGCCCGGTATTCTCTAGTTCTTGATGGGCTTGTTCACAGGACAGCGGCGGGTTCCAGATGGTCTCCCTGGTGGAGCTGTCCGAGGTGACGGAGGAGGGCGTCCGCTTCCGGTCTCCGTACGA